GTTTTTGGCTTTTTGGCTTTTTGCTTTACACGCGATTCTGTACGTAATGGTGCTGGGTGAGCACGCTTCGGCCAAGGGGGTGTTAGGGACCTACCATATTCGGTATGGTCACGTGGCCTCACTTAGTCACCCATCTAGATAGTCAGCTCGCCTGAGCCCCTTGAATTCAGAGAATCGTGCCTCGCGAACATGTATGTTGCTCGGCTTCACCTTCGCTGCGATTGACACATATGATTGGTCCGCTTATCGTAGTCACATGACACCTTGTAGTATGAGAACGCACACTTCCTCCCCTTTACTTTCTCCCTTTCAGCGATTCCTCTTTGTGTTGAATGAGAGGGAAATGGTAGAACTCCGAAGGAGTAGGTCAAGGAGACAATCTTAGACAGTCCAGAAGTTGTGGGCCCCGAGCCCACAAGTTCCTGACAGGAGAAAAGACAACATGCCCTTTACGCAACTGCGTCCCGTGGTCTGTGAGAAGGTTGTTGATTTCCTATTACCTCTTCGTATGAGGACTTAAGATAATAGCTATCCATACAAATGTCACGTGCTAATCCCCGAATTCCTCCACTACAGTGTATATCTAGTTGTTAGATAGCAAGGCATTTCGCCCTCTACATATATAAAATAATTCGCTGACCAGACTATTTATCAGTCAGCTAGAATGCTAAAAGCACGTGGAATTCCCCTACGGCTCCAGTGGGTTCCAGGACACTGTGACAATCCCGGAAATAATACAGCGGACCGCCTGGCAAAAAAAAAGTAGTTAGTCCAGATAAAAGGCACCCCTTTCAAGGCCTCTTGTCACGCGAAAAAGCACATATCCGAGACAAAATCACTAAGGAGTGGGAACGAGAATAAAGAGCCTTAAAAAAGGGGGGCACCTTTATTGTATTAACACAGCCCTACCCTTAAACTATACACGCCGGCTCTATGGCTTGCTTCCCCGGAATCGAGCCTATCTACTTACACAACTCTAAACAGGCCACTCATGGCTTGCAACGCATGGTATGCGACACAGATTCCAAGATAATAAATAGTATAAATATAGTGCGCCAGAAACTGTAGTCTATATACTAATTAATTACCCGCGGCTGAGCGGGCTACAACAAGAGCTACAGGGGAAGATTGGAAGAGCATTTAATAATATTTTAGATATGCTGGGAGGAGCAGGGCAAGGTAAGGAGGGTAGGTTAAATAATACCACGCAAGGCAGTAGCATTTTAAATGCAGTACTGGACTTTGTAGAAATATCTTAGAGATTTCGAAGTCGCGCGCCACGAGGGCCGCAGAACAGAACACCAGGCATCGGCCAACACAGGCCTTGACGAGGCTCCAAGTTCGTCGGGAAGTAATAGTTTGCTGTAAATAGATGCACATATAGAGCAGTGATAGGGGTATCCTGCATATCGCCTTAGGCGAGGGGTCAGCGTATGAATACTACTACTACTACTACTAGTGTACAAGCACTAGGCACAAGTGGGATAAGACGCTCCATGTGGAACACGACGCAGGAGATCTGCTGGAAAGACCAACCGCTGTAGCCATCTCGACTACAATAACTGGTGAGAAGAAATAATCAACTTGTATGTATACAGTACAGTATCAACAGGCGATCAAATTCAGCTCATACAAATGTTACATTCCCCTCTACCTGAAAGCCGGGTTTTGAACTCAGCCTCGCTTTCTTGACCTCCTGGTGAAGCTGTATTAGAATTTTGAATATTCTTATGTATCCTAGGGCTATTATTGTAACAGACAAGATGTCAAAACAGAAATCCGTGCATCCTGGATCTCCCTCCGTGCGATTCGGAGAAGAGCTTTGCACGTTGCCTGAGACTTTCACGTCAAGATCCCATACCTTACGATAGCCCTGAGAATGTAGAAACATGAAACATGATGTTAAATCTGACCTTCTGATTCTATTACTGAAAAGTGGACACAGCTTCCGGGACGAAACCAGTGGGACATGTAATGGGGCGAAATGCCTTGCTATCTAATAACTAGATATACACAAAGAGGAATCGCTGAAAGGCAGAAAGTAAAGGGAAAGAATTGTGCGTTCTCATACTACAAGGGGTCATGTGACTGCGATAAGCAGACCAATCATATGTGTCGATTGCAGCGAAGGTGAAGCCGAGCAACATACAGGCGTAGCCCGTGACAGGACACGCTTGTAAGGCGTAGGCGTATTGGTGCAACATACGCCAAAGAGATATGTCGGCCTCTGTAAGATACCTGTAGTTTCTTTCGCGAGGATTAGAGTGCTGAGGTGGCGTCGAATCCCTGCAAAGGAGTATATTTGTCGTCGAATATCTTCCTCCGTAAGAAAAGTCGCCATATGCCAGTATTTGCAGTGATGGGAAACCATTTTCCCCAAATGCCCAGTGTGCAAACTCATCAAAATAATATGTTAGCTCTGGGTACTCCCTACTGCATGAAAACTCTTCCTCGCTTTCATCACTGCCCAGCTCACTGTCTAGTACGTGAATCCAACAGCTCTCATTTTGACTAAGAGCAGACCCAGACTCCCTGATATGGAAAATATTCAGGCCTGTGCTGGATGTAAGAGGAGAAGTGATTTGCTTCTGGTGGTTTGCAGCAATGATTGTTTAGTTGGAATTATAGTTAAGAACTAGGAGGGAAGGCGTACCAAGTTTTGAGTTGGAATCAAGTTGGGAACTGGCGGCTGAGCCCGTGCAGAATGCAGCTAGTGTATGTATATCGGGAAAGGGGGTACTAGTACTTTTCCGTGACGCTGTATTACCAAAACCGTACTGCGGAGCATTGTCATCACAAATCTCAATTCTCCCTCTTCTTAGCGACAAGGGCGTTCTTCAGTAGCCTCCAAAAGAATCATCGCGATGGCCACCCCATTTATCGCTCCAGTCTCCAAGCCCGGTCAGGGCGAGGTCGTCGTTGAGCTCCTTCCGCCGGCCCTTCCAACATTCACCAACTTGACGTACCGATACCCGCTGAAGCTTCTGACCCATAAGTCGCTTTATATCCCAGTCTCGTCGGCTCTGCCATGTGTATCTCCACCAGTCTACTTGTACATAATCGGTTATGGTGGAGGTCTGCTGCCGGGTGATGAAATCGACGTCTCTATCACACTGAATCCGCAAACAAGGTTGGTAGTCACGACGCCGCACGGAAGCAACAAAATCTATCGGACCGATGCGACGCAGAAGTTGCGGAAACGGCTGGCTCTACCGGACCAGGTATTGATGGATATGAGTCGACAGACACTGGATGTTCACATTGGGAACCAGGCCGTCTTCTGCTCGCTGCCCGACCCCAACGTACCTTTCAAAGACAGTCGATACGAACAAGCCCAGACCTTTACCGTGGACGCAGCGGCTACAGGAAACAACCGTGGCAGCCTCTGTATACTGGACTGGGTGACCGAAGGCCGGTCGGCCAGGGGCGAGAACTGGGATTTCCATCTCTGGCGCGGGAAAAACGAGGTGTGGTCGGTGGATGAGGCGACAGGGTCTAGGAAGCTTCTCCTTCGCGACTCGGTCATTCTGGACGCTGAATTGGAAGAGGGAGCCCACCTGGGCTCCCAGGAGCAGTCTCGCACGAAAAAACTGATCCGTGATCGGGCCGGAACCAGCACCGTCCTGGGCACCTTGATACTCTACGGACCCGTGTTCGAACGGCTGATGACCTGGCTCCTGGATCGATTCAAATCACAGCCTCGTCTCGGGGATCGCGACTGGTCCACAACCTCGACCAACTCAACGTCTCAGCCTTCTTTGCACGATGATATCACTTGGACGGCAGCGCATATACGAAACAGCTTTGTCTTGATAAAGTTTGGTGCCCGGCATGCACATGGAGCTAAGCAATGGCTTGGTGACCTCCTGCGGGAAGAGGGAAGCATTGCGATGGAGTTTGGCGAGGAAGCGCTACAGTGCTTATGGGAATGAAGAATCATGATGCTGCCCCTGATGTTGGCTTTGCATTACCTAGATATTGATCATCATGTTCACGTGTCGACCCTTATTACCCTATGAACCCTTCCCTAGCAGTTGATTCTACTCTCTTCCATGGCCTTGCAATCAAGCCATCTTCCGCCTTCCCTGGTCTTTCTTCCATTTGTAGATCATTGCTCCATAAATATGTAAAATTACCAGATACGATGCAGAACACAGAAGTAAGGAGATGAACCAAGTTTGCATTTGATCTTGGTCAAAAAAAAAATGTCGATCTATACCCAACTCATCCTCCAGTTTGCCAGCAGACTAGTGGTGGCCTCAGCTCAGCCACCTACGCGACCCATGCGTTGCCTAGACCAGGGGATGATTGACGATCCCATCAGTGGACCTGCTGTGTGTGTTGGAGCATATCGCCAAGCATGGGCGCCTGCCCGGTTTCGACCTCGCTTAGTCATCATTTATGTAAGCTAGCTTTTAGTAACGTAACCGGAAAGCGAGCGAGCCATAAAAGCGAGCGAGCCACCTCCGTATTGCATATAAAATGGCACTTTTACAGCCTTAGTATCTCAGCCAATCTTATAGCTACGGCGTAGTATTAAGTCCTTCTTATTAAATACATGCAGTAGAACATATCTATATTTTATTCAGAATTTTCAGAATTTTTTTTTCTTCACTATAATACAGGACAATCCCTAGTACAACTGTATTTAAACCCCTCTTCATGTAATATATAGAACCACTTACATTATAAGCTTCGAGGTTTAATATCTGCTTGTACACTATTATGTCAGTCTGGATTCGAATTCTAGGCTGTATTGACAGGTTGTTGTTGAAATACTAAGATCACTAAAAGTGCCAGTTTGTATGTAATACGGAGGTGCTCGCTCGCTTTCCGGTTACGTTAATAGCGGCCACCCGGCCACCCATTCAATAGGGACGAAGCAATCGCTTCCAACAGTGTGTTTCTGCAGAAGTACAACCGATGTCTATATGTATTATTGCATCAGGGTGGGGATTTACGAACAAACTTCTAGCTAGTACTAGAGGTGTCCAATAGAAATGAGTCTCATCGAGATTGCGGTGTGTTACAATATCATACGTCTGAGTTTCCCGGATTTACCATACAAAACAGTATGAGATCTATAAACAAACCACTTCTCTGGTTCGACCCACTGCGACCCGGCGGGACCCCACTGCGATGGATCTGTCATACGCCTTCCAAGATTCAAGTACTTGGCGCAAAGATGGGTGGGGCGAGTACACTATTACTTCCATTGTGCTGGATCTGGGCGTCTCTAGTGACATTTCCTCCCCCTTCATCTCAACCGACTCCAAACAAAGAAGAAAAATGGCAATCAACCAGGCACAGGATCAGGGTTTAGATGACGAGATTTCGGATCTTGAGGAACGTCTGGAAAATGCGAGAGCGCGCCGGGTGCTGGCCACAGGGAATGCTCCTTTCCAAGGTAAGCAAATAAACAAATAGATCTTAACCTACCAAGAGCTGGTAGAGAGTTCCTTGACCCTGCTAACTGTGTTTCATTTTTTTAAGGTCCGTCCAATCCGATACCCGTCCACGCATTGCTCCTCCTTTCTGACTCGGCGCTTCCCCTCGGTGGGTTTGCGTACTCCAACGGACTTGAATCGTACCTTGCCCATCTCAAGCTACGAGGACGTATAGCCAATCCAGAGGCAGCCTTTGACTCGTTCCTTACGCTCTCAATTGCGTGCATGGCGAGCACATCCCTACCGTACTTGTTGGCAGCGTATCGACAACCCGAAATGTTGAAAACCATCGATAACGATCTCGATGCATCCACCCCTTGTGTTGTAGCTCAGCGGGCAAGCCTCGCCCAAGGAAGAGCTCTACTGGGGGTCTGGGAACGATCCTTCCGCGTGTCCTACACTCCGGCGAGCGATGCAGCAGCGGTGACGGCAGTGAAGTCTCTCGAAAGCATTTCTGCTGGGCTCAAGAGCCGCAATAACCCAGAAGAAGGATTGGGGCCGAATGGTCACCTCGCGCCCTTGTGGGCCGTGGTCTCTCGGGCCATGGGGTTGACGGCACAGCAAACGGCCTATCTGCATATGGTCAACCATGCCAAAGCCGTGCTCAGCGCAGCGGTGCGCTCCTCTGTCATTGGTCCTTATATGGCGCAGTCCATCTTGGCCAGTCAACGTTTGCAGGAAATGATTTCTCACCGAATCGAGCGGGAGTGGGACACCCCCATCGACCGGGCTGGACAGTTGGTCCCGGCAATGGACTTGTGGGTTGGACGCCACGAGCTTCTTTACAGCAGGATTTTTAACTCATGAAATATTTTCCTTTTTGTTCAATTTTAAAGACTCTGGCCTCATTATATTCGAAACTAGGAATAAATCTGCTGTTTCACCAATAGCTTAGGCGTCGATATTCCCAGACCCCCGGGGTGCGCCCTGTTTCCACCTATTGACACTAAGGCTATATGCCCCACTAGCCTTCCACGCACTCAGAATCAGATCCACAATGTTGGTCAGACCCTTCCCATTCTTCACCTGAGCAAAAACGGTGGGTCCGCCCTCTCGCATTTTGGCAGCATCCCGGGCCATTACGTCCAGATCAGCGCCGATAATTCCGGCCAAGTCGGTCTTATTCACCACCAACAAGTCCGATCCCGTAATGCCCGGCCCACCCTTGCGCGGGACTTTGTCGCCGCCGGCCACATCAATCACGTAAATGATGAAATCAGCCAGTTCTCGAGAGTAGTTGGCGGCTAGATTGTCGCCGCCGGACTCTATCAGAAGAATGTCGGTCTGGAATTGCTTATGTAGTCCCTGTAAGGCGAGCAGGTTGGCGCTAATGTCCTCGCGGATGGCGGCGTGCGGACAACCTCCGGTCTCGATGGCTTTGATCCGATTGCTCGCAAGAGCCTTGTTCCTAGTGAGGAACTCGGCATCTTCACTGCATTGAACAAGAAGAATATGTATAAGCAAAAAAACAAGGATATTAATCAAACTAGAAGGTCTTTGCTTGCCGAGTGAAGATGTCGTTGGTGACGGCGGCCAGATTGTACTCGTCTCGCATGGCTTGGCCAAGAGCGAGCATCAAGGCGGTCTTTCCCGATCCTACCGGCCTAGCGTCAGTTAGCATCACCGTGAAAAGCAAGGAGGGAAAAGAGAGGGCGAAGTCCTACCCGCCAATTCCAACGGTGAAAGCGCGGTCGTTCCAGTCCCGCTCATGCGTGAGAGGTTGTTCTCGCGTGACATACGATCCTGGGCCGTCCATGATCTCGTGCGAGTGCCCATGGGTCTCACCATTATCGTGCGAGTGAGAATGAGTCATTATGTGTCTGAAATGCGATTTAACTAGAGTGAAAGGAAGATGGAGTTCAAGGAGATTATGGTGGGAAAGGTCCAGTATGGAGGGAATTTGGCGGGTTTTATATACTAAAAACTGATAGTCGATTTATTGCGTACGTCCCGAGGTTAAAGCTTTTCAACGGCTAGAAAAAATAAACGAGACTGCCTCGACGTAACTAAGCTACAGCTGAACATTAATTATGGAGTTTTGGAATTAACGAGCTTTGTGCTTTTTTCTCGTAATCTTGTTCATACATATTACCCATTGGGGTAGAAGTTGCATCCACTGACCGATTTTGGATTTGGTGAACAAGGAAATAAAAATAAAAGAAATCTTCATTAAGACCTCTCGTTCGCAACGCCAAGTGAACCGCTTCTCCATCCTCTTTCTTTAGTTGGAACTTGGCCCCATCTATATTACCAATTGGGTACTTCATAGTCGTCTTCTCGACTCTACTGTGAGGGGATTGGGATGTAGTTGGACTCACTGGGCCTACAACCTAACCAGAAGCTTGGGCTGGCTAGCGTTCCAGGGCGAAGGTTGATCAGCGGGCACATCCCTGTTTATGGAAAGTAATATACTTATGCAGGTGAGGCATTACTGCCTACACACCAAGTCAATTAGACCGTGTTACGTGGCAAGTCTTCCATTCAGCTGAATGATCATCCCGTGTGTTAGTTACGGAGTAGTCCCGTGTCAGAGACCCATGGATAAATTGGGTCCCTAATGATGTAATAGTGCAGCTGTGCAGGTGTTCAGCTCACCTCTAATTCTGTTGGGGTGAGGGTCCGTCCGCTATGTAGAAAGAAAGTTTGGGATTGGTAGGCAGATTGGCAGGACTCGTGTGTGTCTAAGCACCGGTGTAGAGAATCGCTGATGGAGAAATCCACCTGCATAAACGCGCGTTCGTACTCCTAGAGGAGGAGAGACCTGAAAATGTGTATCGCCTGTTACAAAACTGTATTCATACCTGAATTGGGGTAATAGCACCTGTTCAGCGTCATAATACAGTCCAATTCGATACGAGGGGTCTTGTGGACGGAAAGAATTGTCATGCCAGGTAAGGTTGGATCCGCAATGTGAGCGGTATTGCTACACAGCGCTGATACTGTATGTTGGTTGGGATGTACCCCGGGGGAGGGGGTAGGCCCACGGGTATTTAAGATGCCCGAACCGCATCGAACAGCTAAGCGAAAGTGCGCCTGAGTGATTTATCGCCCTAGTTTACTCCATCCATTTCCTTGTCCAGAGTCTCTTCAGTTTCAGGTCGGATCCAGGGCCTTAAGAAAAGCATACGTTCACGATGCATCTGATTCCCAGAGAGGTACGTGGATTACTCGCTCTTCTGTTTTCCCTACAAAATCATAACCAAAATGTTTACTTCCAGCTGGAAAGGCTCGCCAGCCTCTACCCACTTGGAAATCTGGCTCAGCGCCGTCTTTCACGTGGAGTGCGGCTTAACCATCCGGAAGCTGTGGTATGTACCCCTTCGGGCTGTTCAGCGAGATGGATTGGCTCACAAAGAAATTAAAATGGGCCCTGATCTCTACGGTTTTACACGAGGTAAATGTTTTCCCCGGGCATCTGGACATGGACATAACCTGACTTATACTTACTCGGACGGTAGCTTATCCGCGACGGTCACTATGCGGTAGCGGACCTGATGTCCATTGGGAGGAAGATCCTCGGCCGCCGTCACGTCCTTCCATCCACTTGGTTTACTGCCCGTCAGATCCAGGTGGAAGGAACGTTTCCGACAGGCACTTATCTGGTGACCGTAGTCGATCCTATCGCCACGGAAGGCGGAAACATTGAGCTAGCGCTGTATGGCACTGGCCTCACCGCGCCCCCCGACAGCCTTTTCCCTGAGGTCAGATTTAGTGACTTCGCACCCGAGAAGGCACCGGGATACATTTGGTGTAAGGTTTCCGATTGTCCTAATGATCCGGATAAGACCGATATTCTCTTGAATGAAAAAAGAGACAGACGTCGTCTAAAAGTCATAAACAAGGGGAGCCGGCCAATTCAGGTATGCTGTATCCCTTTCTTTTTTTATAGTTTCTTTCGTTCTCTCTGCCATTTTTTGTGTGGAACTAACGCTGGAATGATTTTAGGTTGGATCCCACTATCACTTTATCGAGACAAATAGAAAACTTTGTTTCAACCGGAAGGAAGCGAACGGATATCGACTGGATACCCCATCTGGGAGTTCCATTCGATTCGAGCCGGGGCAATGCCGAATGGTGGACCTGGTGCAGATTGCCGGCCGCAAGCGAATTGCCGGTGGTAACGGCGTTGCGAAGTACTTACACGAGAACCATCGCATTCCCGACGGATTTGAAAATGATGGTCCCGCAGCTGAGAAGGGAAGAGAAGATCGTCGTATGCAACGCCACGAGTACGTAAAAATGTTCGGACCTACCAAAGGCGACGTTGTACGGCTAGGCTCGACCGATCTCTACGTCATGGTAGAGGAAGATTGTCGAGACCGTACCGGGCATTGCGGTGAAGACTGCCCAGATGGTAACGGGGATTGTGATCAAGTGTGTCGAGTTGCTGGGAAATGCCCGAAATGCCGTACATACTACGGCGATGAGTGCAACTTTGGTGGCGGCAAGTCCGTTCGTGACGGCATGGCCCAGACCTCATATGGTTCATCCAAAGAGCATAGTGATTCTCAAAATAGGCATGAGAATTCAGATCCGCCCCATTATGTCTGCGTCGACACGGTGATCACCAACGCCTTGATCATCGATTACACTGGCATCATAAAGGCAGACATCGGGATCAAGAACGGTCATATAACAGCCATTGGGCGTGCCGGAAATCCCGACATCATGGATGATGTGGACATCGTCATAGGTGCCAATACCGACGTGATCGGGGCTGAAAACAAGATTGTCACAGCCGGTGGGATTGACACACACGTCCACATTCTGGACCCAGCCCAGGTTCCCGAAGCACTTTGCAACGGGTTGACGACGCTTGTCGGCGGCGGCACGGGCCCCTCGACGGCCTCGAATGCCACGACTTGCACGTCAGGCCCCGAGAATATCAAACGCATGCTCCAGGCGTTTGATCACCTGCCCATCAATGTTGGTATCACTGGAAAGGGTAACAACAGCGACCCAGAGGGTCTGAATGAGCAAGTCGAGGCGGGTGCGATCGGCTTGAAGCTCCACGAAGACTGGGGCGCCACCCATGTGGCCATCGACACATGTCTCGAAGTGTGCGAGAAGTACGATGTTCAATCCACCCTCCATACCGATACGATGAATGAAGGTGGCTATGTGCAAGACACGATCAACAGTATCGATAACCGTACCATCCATTCGTATCACACCGAAGGCGCCGGCGGTGGGCATGCCCCCGACATTATCGCAGTCGTGGCGACGGAGAACATCCTTCCGGCGAGCACGAACCCTACCCGCCCGTACACGTTCAATACGGTGGACGAGCATCTGGACATGGTAATGGTTGCGCATCACCTGTCCAAAGAAATTCCGGCCGACGTCGCCTTTGCCGAGAGCCGCATCCGTGCGGAAACAATTGCCGCCGAAGACCAACTTCTTGATAATGGCTCTATCAGTATCATGTCTTCGGACACCCAGGCCATGGGCCGTGTCGGTGAGGTGGTTCTGCGAAGCTGGACCAGCGCCCATAAGATGGCCGTCCTTGATCATGCACCCCCCAAAACCCAAAAGCGCGTCGGCAGCAAGGACCAATTGTACGACCACATTAATCAATTCTGCGATGCTGATAATCCATTATGCCATGATCGGAAATACCAGACTGAACTCCCGGACGATGCTCCAACTATCAACAACTTCCGCGTCAAGAGGTATATCAGCAAGTACACCATTAACCCGGCCATCGCTCACGGCATGTCGCATCTCATCGGAAGCGTCGAGAAGGACAAATTTGCCGACCTGGTGATTTGGCAGCCAAGCAACTTTGGCACCAAGCCTGACATGGTGTTGAAGGGTGGCATGATAGCAGTCGCTTTGGGTGTATGTCTCTCTCTCTCCTCTCCTTAGTGTGCCTTCGTCTCTGTTTAAAATGCTCTAATTACTCTAATCTGAAACCTCTCGCTTCTGATAGGGTGACCCCAATGGCTCGATCCCGACAATCGAACCGAGGATAATGCGACCCCGGTTTGCAGTAAGTCCTCTTCCGCTCCACTGGAAATATGTTTGGTATTAACCAATTCTTGCCTAGACCTTTGTTCCTCAAACATCCATTACATTTGTTTCCCAGGCATCTGTCGCCGAAAGCACCCCTAACAAAGACTTGGATGAGATAATCGAGGTGCCTGAGGACCCCACCAAGCCTTTTGACGTTCCAGAAAACTCAAAGATCGGCGGTTACAACCTCAAAAAACGCGTTGAGCCCGTTAAAGGCTGCCGGAGAGTGAAGAAGGAGGGCATGATATTTAATGGAGAAAGGCCAGAGATAGATGTAGATCCGGAAACCTTTGTGAGTGTTTATCCACCTTTACCTCTCGTTCTTTCTGTCTTTCTGTCTTCATGCATAGTTCTGACTGAATCTACCCGTCCCCAGGTCGTGAAAGCGGGTGGTCATGTGTGTGACGTGCCGCCGGCAACCTCTGTATCGTTGGCCCAGGACTATTTCATCTGCTAAACTTTGTTTCGGGCGGCGGGGGTCTCGGACAGGAAAGAAATGGAGAAACCCCGAATTGAAAGCAATTTACGCGAGAATTCCTAAATTGAAGAGCTTTCGGATTTCATTTTGCTTTGTTTCCAAACTTTTCGTTCTGCAACTACGTGTAAATTTCCCTGACTTTGAAAAATGAAAGCCACAACAGATTATAGGTCGTGACTCTATAAAGCTCTGAGCCACATCAAAATACTTAAGATCATGACTCTATGAACTATTTGGGGAAGAATCATAAGCCACGTCAGGTCCCCTTAAATCATAAGTCCATGAAACATTGAACTACATCGAGATGCTTACGATCATGACTATGAACTATGATTTGGGGAGAGGGGTTGTAAATCCATAGTCGGTTGAGAAGACTACGAGTTCTAAATACTGGGAGTTCAATAATAAGAATTGCTATTCATTTGACCATAAGATGAATTAAAAGGCAACAAAAAGGAATAGAGTTCAAAGCAAGAGAGAAGGGAAGAGAGAGAATGTATGGGTCAGTCAGGACTAGAGCCACGGCGAGAGCCACGGCCAGAGCCACGGCCAGAGCCACGGCCAGAGCCACCAGAGCCACGGCCAGAGCCACCAGAGCCACGGCCAGAGCCACGGCCAGAGCCACGGCCAGAGCCACGGCCAGAGCCACGGCCAGAGCCACGGCCAGAACCACGGCCAGAACCACGGCCAGAGTCAGAGTCAGAGTCAGAGTCAGAGTCAGAGTCAGACCTCTGATTGATGATAGGCAAAGTAGCGGCCGGCTTGAGTTTAATGACTTGATCGTCGTTCATATTGTGGACGGTGGGATCTTTATAGACTTTTTCCATTCGGATATCCAGTTTGCCGGCCCATCGCATCAGGATTCCTTTGCTGTCGAACAGCTTGATGTGCTCGGTGGCATCCCCGGAGCGACCTTTCTTCGCTTCGTCTTTCAGCGCCTTTACATTGAACCGGGCGGTCCATTTGGCGTTGATGCCCCATCCCAGATTGGCATCCCGGCTCAGAGTCATATCGCCCTCCCACCATCCGGTCTCCCGCGTATTTGGGTCGGTCTTCTGTCGGTCACTTTCGCTTTCGGGAAGGTCGGGCTCAGTCGTCACGAATGCTGGATCTGACTTAGGCTCGTGATCGGGATCATAGTCGTATGTCTTCAACTGGTAATCGGCCTCGGTAAAGTTGAAGTAGGCATACTTGCAACAGTTGCCATTTTTCGCCTCTTTGATGGGAATGTAGATGCCCCGTAGAGGATAAGTGAGGTCTACCCAGAGAAAAACGTCCGGCTCGGTAAAGTTCACGGTGTCGGTACACTGCGCAGAGTCCTCACCATTGTCACGCTTCCGGCACCACGGTTTCTTGGTTTCTGGATGGATGACGGGCAACAATCTCGACTGAATGTCCGTAGGATCTATGACGAATCTGGCAGCTTCGTCGTAATTTGTCGAGCCCTCGATGCGCTGTAGACGTTGGATATTTTGGAAACTGGGCCCCACCATCGCGGTAATGTTGCGGTAGCGCTGGTAGACAGCCGGCGTCATCGGTTTGGTCAACTCCATGGCATGGCCGCGGGGACTGTTGGAGTCAAATTCGGTATGGTGCTTGGATGCCGTCGAGCCATGTGCCTTGGCGTAATTGGTCACCACGTCCAGTAACACCCAGTTCTTGAAACTCGTCGAGTTAGTCGGATCGAACTCTTCAAAGGCGTAGTCATAGAATCTCTGCTCCGTAGTAGGTTTGCGGGGCCATTTGACCGGCCCATCCACCGCCTGCAGCTGTGAGGCCTGGAACTTGACAATTCTTCCAGATGGCATATCGAGTTGATTGCAACACTTGTTACGTGTGAAGAAGAGATGGTGAATGATTGGGTTCAACAGTGGCTGGTAAAGCCCTATTTGTACTCATGTCTGTGGTATTCAGTGTAAATTACTGTGCACTATGTCTGTAACGAAAGGTATTTACACGGTATCACGCCTCCTTTACCCTAAGGGAATTAGTTTTACGTTTTTTATTTTTTTACCCTTCTTTTTTTTACTTGTTTGCCACGTCAGCTACATCGCACATGAACCCTGGGCCCAGGATGCAGGAAATGTGGCCAAGACCCGTTTCCTCACCGGTACCCTCTACGTCCCAGACCCTTAATGATTTCATGCAGGTCGAAGTGCAAGGGTGGGGGGTCATGCCTCTTGAGTACCCCATTTCTCAGCTCCGGAAGGCTCATCCATAGCCAGAATACGACCCAACGCGCACGTTCGTCCTGCCCATGCCGATCTTCTACCGACGATGAGCTCAGAATACTCGTTCAGAGATGCCCCATCCCTTTTATGTTTCCCCTAGCTTTACGACGGTAACCGGAGGTCAGGTGAGGCAAATCCACTGACAATCCGTTGTTGGGAACATTGAACCTGCATGTTCTTGTCTCCGCAATCGGAACGAGAGTGGAGAGGTCTCCCAAGCACTCAATTGTGCCGCGTTACAGTACGGTGTGAACGGGTAAGATAGACAATCAGGCATATGGGCTTATACTCTGTTACCCAATAGTACTGTCAAGATTTGTGCGGTGAATGTGCAGTGAACTAGCAGTGAGGTCCGTGAGCGATGGAAGACCTCAGGAAGAGCTACCTAGTGAGAGATCCTCCTAAGGTAATGGAAAGTACAAGACCACTCATGTTGGTCCAAACAAGTTTCAGTCTGGCACAACTGCCCAGGTGCAACTGGGCTCGAACGGCCTTAGCGATTTCTTAGGAGGGATAACAGGAAATTCGGATTAATCCAGACCCTCTCACATTGAAGGAAGTGATCTAAGATTGATCATCTGTTCGATCATACATCTCATACCAGTCCTCTCCATTGAGTATTTTGCTGTGTGTGCGCTGTCCAGGCATTTCTCTTTCCATTCAAATCGCGATACATTGAACATCCATCACAAATGGTTGGATTTCGACACGCTGCACCAGCAATATTCGTGCAGAGAGACCGGCAATGTGGCCGCACAGAATGCAGTGTTTTTCTGTGTTCATATTATTGAAGCGGTCTTGAGGATGTCAATGGCGACAATTTAGTTGCCTAGCTCCTATCTCAGAGAAATGGAAATAATGCAGGATGTCAGGCACAAGCTTCAGCTAATGCCACATAGAATCATTCTAAAGCAGTCTCCATCGGGGGTATTGGTGGCTATCCGGGAAGACAACGAGACAGAATTACTTTGGAGACTTCATGGTCACAATTGACATATCCTGTGGTTCTGCACGAGGAGGATTGCATGGACTTGAGCTCGGAGCTTTTACATGGGGGCCGAGGTAAGTCGTTAACCATCTTCTGGGCCCATTTCAGGAATCTTATCCACTCTTTTTAGCCATCCGTCCAGACGGACAGACTCCATGTGGATGCGCTCAGCGGCTAAGCCAAAGTAGTAAAAGGGCGGAGTACGCCCACTTGGATTGTTCGCCAGGATACTTTCCTATAGTCGCTCTGAACACGAGATTGGCGATCTATGGGCTTCCTCCCCAGCCAATCTTTCCTAGGGACAGAATCCGAATACACCCGCATTATCCAGAGTGCTTTGGTTGGGAGGGTGCCCGACTGGCCTGAGAAACGGCAGAAGCAAAGTTAGATACATGTAACATTAGCGCCCCCAGTGAGCTCGCACTGGGCAGCAGTCCTTGCCAGGCTGTTGGGGGCGATGGATTCATACCTTCTCGTTATGACGGTGTTATGGGAGACCAGAATAATCCGCCGTGGTTGTGCAGGTGCGGCCCGTCGCGGGGTCCCGAATGCACAACCACACCAAATCAGGGGATTCGGATATGAAACCATCCGACTTCTTTTCACCCGACTCGCACTCGGGCCTAGAAGCTGGTTTTGCGTTACCGGTAAAAGTGGTGTCGCCCTACAAAGAAGACAGGACACCCCTGAGCTTGCATAAGGTCTTGGATCGCATGGTGCGAGATGCAGCGAGGCGGTAGTGAACCGATGACGCAGGTAATCAAGCTGAATTTGGACAGAACTTTTTCAAGGCCCAGAGGTCTCGTTCAGTCTCGAGCTCGTTAAGGCTTGAAAACATCCTGCACTGCAGACCTCGTTAAGGTTCAGCCACGGGCAACCTTGGGTACAGCTGTTCTTCGAGACACGGGCATCACCGAGACACAGGCATCTTCCTGGGAAATCAATGGGTGATCTGGAAGGGGTTGGTAATTGGTAGGTGGCCTTGATAGACCTTGTTAAGGATTTGCCACGGGCAACCCGTCGATCCCGTTCAGATATCGGGGACCAAGCTTGGTTAGTGGAGAGCGACCAGTATACACTGCCAGATGGGAAGTATATGAGGGCTATCTACAAAGCACGGTCGGCCTAGTAGAGGGAGACCTCTCTAGGTAACGCGAAACAAGAGTGTGAGCTCTTGCTGGGCGTGGTATACAATGGCAGCCACTGCGACAGGGCCGGGGCCTGTCAAGAGACTGTCTATATGGCCCGAGAGGACGGATGCACGTGTAGGTGCACAGAGCGCCGGGACTCAACTACCTCACTCGCACTGGGGGCTTGAAAACGGTCTTGATCGGTTCAAGCGTTGTCGTCCTAGTTGAACTGCCCGTGACGTGTGCTTAAGGAGCAAACTGAGCGACACCTAGGGTGAGAGGCGTGGTGAACCTCAAAAGACCAGAAGCACCGATTACTGGTGGAAATCTGGGGTAGTAGCTTATGCAAGTAAGCATGTCGGCGCTACTTAATGTCAGGATTGCCTTCACTCATGCTTAGAAGAAAATGATTCTGTACAGAAGCATTTGCTTCTGGTCCCATTCTCGACCGTGTTCTTTCTTTTCCGGCGAGCATTCACATCATCTTGAGTTATCCAGCTCTCCGGGCCGTCTCGGGAGGACGCCCTCTGGGACCTGATCTGCCGGCAGCCATAATTTCAATCCCAGGCGCAAGAGGAACTCAGTTCTCCTTCCATTTTGCCAGGATTTTCCCAGGAAGTGGATTTTATCTGCCGATTGAAGTTTTGTCGATGTTATTTCCAAAATGCCGGCTGCATACGGTATGCATAACAGCGTTTGAATTGGCGACTCTGGACCGCCAGTTCCGCCAGTTTTGTCTGTCCCGGAGTTTGTTTTGTCGGGAACTATAATAGATGGCTCAGAAATCTCGGCTGAACTTGCAAGACTCTCCAAGCTGACGCCTTGGTGCAAGGTATCCGCTCTTGGTTTTCGCGGCCCAGAGGAGGGAATTGATTCCAGGCCCCTGTTTGGTTCGGACTCGTCCAGCTTCTGGTGCTCTTTTGTATTTTATCCATTTTCTTGCTGAGAACTTGATAATGGTACGCTCTCTGGCTCCGGGGCGTTCGGAATTGTGTCACCGCCCCAAATGTCTTGCAGCACATCACTTTCTATGACTGGGGGGTTGCCAAACCCTTCACTTGAGAGAGGTGGTGAATTCGATAAAGCCATTGCAGGAAGAAATTGGCCACTGAAGTTTTTGTAGAAGCAATTCGCGAAAGGGTATCGCAGCTGGAGAACGAAGGAGAGAATGTAAGTTGTGCAAGATGGGCTAATTTATACTGTAGTTCCGCTACCGTAGATGTATACGGACTTAGAAGCCATCCTAGGTGGGACAGATATATTCCTCAGGATTGTGGCCGACGAATGCTTAATGACTGTAAAATCCTTGCTCGAACTCCATTCTCAGGGTGATTATATTACGTAGTATTATGTAAGACTACATATGTGCTAACGCCTAATCGCAGAGCTCAGATAGATGAAAGTCACCGTGGAAGACTAATTTCACGACATGTTTACGTGGCCTTTATATACCTTTTGAAACATACAGTATTCCGATAAGCCTCCACCAATCCTGTCTTCTACTTGTCATTTGGGGTTGAACATGGAAAGCATTATTTCAGGGCATTTTGAGAAGCGGTGTATTTTCTTGATACTGTACTGTACGTAAGGGAGTAGACAGCCTGAGCGAAGACCATGTCGGAACTCGAGAGAAGACATTTAGAGCACGCCTCATCCACGAGTCTTGCGATCCTACCCGATCGCAGATACCGTCTTGAATGGGAGGCCTCTTCCTCTACTAGCCTCTATGGGTTTAGGGTATCACGCGTGATATGTGTGTTGAACCAAAAAGGGAGGCACCCCGTGCCAATTTATGAATCTAACTTTGGATGCCAGTGTCGCCATATTCGGCCACCTTTGCGGCCAGTGGCCACATGGTTCCAACCGGGAATCATAACAGCCAAGGAGAGGGGTACAGTTATTCGGCAGTTTGCATCTGTACAAAAAAAAGCTGCAGCTATAATTAGTAGCGCCTTTCGGTCTACGGCCACGGAGGCACTTAATACTGAACCTTATCTGCTACCTATGGGGCTCTAGATGGAACAGCTCGCCAAGGAGACAGCGATACAAATTGCTCCAGGGCCACAACACGCAATACTGGGCGGTATAAAGGTGCCCCGCAACGAGGAGGAGAAGGAGCTTAGTGGGTTGACACTAATAGAGGCACACGCCGGTAAGCGCGGCGGGTGTCTTAAGCCGCCACCAAAGGTTAAAGGGAGATGGGAGACAAGCAGGCATATATTACGGAACCGTGGCGTGCACCTCCGGACGTGGTGATTAAGGACTGCGCCGAGGCAAGAAAAAGTCATGACCAAATACTACAACAAACTAACAAGCCGCTATGTGTCTTTACCGACGGCAGTGGATACGGGGGCAAGGTTGGCGCCGCAGCAGCGGTGCCGGACTTGAAAACCCAAACAACTTACCACCCTGGCCCAGAAACTACGACCACGGTATACGCAGCAGAGCTACGGGGTGTCCAGATGGGGCTGAGATGGTAAAACGATGTCACGGGATGCAGCGGTGGAGAAGCTATATCTGCAATGGGGTGCAGATATTCTCTGACAGCCAGGCAGCTCTGAAGGCGATCAGGCGACCTCGGCTAGTCTCTGGACAGGAGATCCTACGGGAATGCCTTGAGCTGCTCCGTTGCTGCGAAGAACAAAGTATCCGGGTAACACTACGGTGGATCCCGGCTCACCAGGGCGTGCCTGGCGTGTCTGGGAACAAGGCAGCTAATAAGCCTGCCAAGAAAGCAGCATAAAAGGGACCACTAAGAGGACAACAACTGATTATGCTGCAATCGGCGGCCAAGCGGAGGATCAGGACGGAGTCAAAAGCCAAGTGGGCCAAGGCGTGGCAACGGGCAAGGACTGGACGACCGACTATCTCAGCCGTATCAACGTGCGCGAATCGGCGCGCTGCGGTTGCGATCTTAACGACCAAACGCCTAAACACTTGCTTATAGCGTGCCCAATTCTGATCGACCTGCGAATGGAGCTACGACGGGAGCTTCGATGGAAAGGCTGTGCCGGTGTCTGGATAGAGGGCTATAAATTGGTGATACGGGAGATGAAAGCAAGTGTAGCAGTGGCGGATTTTATAATAAAAATAGGCCTGCTCGGGCAGTTTCAAGCGGTAGATTCTGCAGCAATAGGGGTCACAATCCAAGCGCAGGATAAGATGCCTATCTCGGCCCGCTTAAGATAACTAACAAGGATATTGGGCTGCTGCCTGAAGCGAGCTCATATCAGCGGACACAGGACCAGGTCGCCTGCGGCCGTCGAGCAGACCAGTCAACGGCACTGAGATACGCAGACGGCGTTTTGGGGGGGGGACAGGCGGGTGGATATGTAGTCAGAAGATGCCCGGTAGGGGACGCGGGGACACTGCAGACAGTGAGGCGCAGGTTCCGTCAGGGGTTGAGCGTCCGAATACTATTGTACTGGAAGATGGAGCTCCTGCTCACCGTCATCACTTTCAAAAGACCGTATTTAATCGTCATGGTGTTGAAAAAATCCTAAATTGGCCAGGCAACTCTCCAGAACTTAATGCAATTGAGTGGGCGTGGCCATGGCTAAACAAACGTACAGCTTCAAGAGGAGCTCCGCAGGATAAGAAAACTGCAGAATCTGCATGGAAAAAGGCCTGGGATGAGCTACCTCAGGAGACTATACAACATTGGATTGAGCGTCTCGTCCGTCATGTTCAAGAGATCATTCGGTTGGAAGGAGGAAACGAATATAAAGAGAGTCGTACAGGAAAGGATTGACGGAAAAACACTAGAGTTGGGGGGTATCTCTCTAAACACCAGGATTTAGGAGATGGACCACTTTCTAGTGCTTTGTATAGCTTCATTTTGCACTTTTCGGGATTTTTTTGGGTCATTTGAGCCATTATAATGTATAATTATATGTGTCCTGATTTTATTGCTTAAAGTACCTCATTATATAAAAATATATAAAAAGTTACATTACAGCCATACATCGCATTACTGCCAAGATAGAAGTATATGGGTCCAACCTCCAAAGACTAAAGAAACACACCTCCGTAGATATCTCTACAATGTCTCAAAGATTGAGATCTACAGCGCCAAGACGAATCCGAAGAGAGATCTTCCATGGCTCCTGCACCACCATCATTTTCAACCGTAAAAAAAAAAAATAAATAAAAAAGAGGCAACTAGAGCCATGACCTCTTTTTGTGATGGAAAGTTATTTTGACGTAATGAAGAGGGATGTCTTGGGTCTGAGAGAGGGTAGGTCGCGGCGATCAACAACGAACCCCACCTGAGGGTTACGAATTTCTCCAATGCGGATGGAAGTTGCCAGGGGACTATTGGTGATGTAGAGCTGTGTACCACAATACCGCAACAATACAGATGGTTGAGCCCTCACACCCCCCTTCTTTGAACTAACCTGTAAGGTTTCTACTGCCTGAAACTGTGACATCTAAGGTAGCGGCGCATAATGGCGATCACACGTCAGCTCTCCTTCCGGTATTGCACTTTGCAATTATACCGTACCCCTAATGGATGATGCGTATTTGGGTAATGCGGCGAATGCAGAAGTGTAAGACAGTTCAAAGGTTGTAAGATCATCTTACTAAGATGGCAGGGTCAAACTAGTCAAGCACAAACGTACCTCCAACTTCCACAGAACAAAACAATACCATATCTGCGACAATACCTTGGCGTACTGTGATGCCCCCACGCCCCTTTTCTGCTAACGATCATACAGAACTCTTTATAACATATCAATTGTGTTTCTCCCAAATGCCCTCTCTATGTCATCCAAACGGACTCATTGAGTATCTACAAATTGCAACTTCCTACAACCATGACTAGAACCAACCGGCACGCTAATATTCCAGGAATGGCCGGTGACCTTGAAGAACCTATGGCGGAGCGCCGTACATGCAATATGAGAGAGAGAAAGCTCACCGCCAAGTCGCTCATACGACGTGCAGAACACTTCCATAGTCAGTTGCCAGCTATCAGAAAGATCCCTTTTCCCGCTGTCGCCATCATACTCTTAATTGCTTTCTTGAATATGGTCGTGTGGGCCGTGGCTGCAATTGTATTGGTATGTGTCTTGGTGTTACAATGAATCTAAATATTATCCAATGGCATTTCTACCTAGTATCAGGTATACTAACGTATTTGCTAAATGTGAGGGGATATACAGCGTTATTATCCGTACGTTACCTCGAGCATCAGGCAATACCGAATACGTTCAGTTTCCTCTACCTCAAGTATGAGCTGATTCTGTTAATAGGTCTTTGGTTTCCAACGCAGTCCTTTCATACACATTGGGACTAAGACATGCATTTGATGCGGATCATATATCGGTAAGCAGCCTAGTCAAATTCGAAAAACTTCACCGGTAAAAAAACTAATTGGAAACCAATAGGCTATTGATTTGATGACAAGAAGATTACTTGCTAGCGGTCAGAAACCTGTGTCGGTGGGAACATTCTTCTCTCTGGGCCATTCAACGTAAGGAACTCTCCGATTGTTATATTAACCGTGCTTACGCCTGTCAATAAGGATTGTTATAATTACAGCTGTCGTTGTTGCAGCCACCACAGCGGCCATCTCATCGCGTTTCGATAGTTTTAGTGTTGTAGGCGGAATTATTGGCACATCTGTCAGTGCTGCTCTCTTGATCCTGTTGGGTCTTATGAATGGATATATCCTCTACAAGCTCATCAAACAAATGCAGAAGGTCCTAAATCTTCCAGAGGGTCATGAAGATGAAGCCTGGAAGGTTGAGGGCGGAGGTATTCTATTTTCAGTGCTCAAGAAAATGTTTAAACTGATAGACCGGTAAGATTCCATGCTTTCCTCGTGTAAACCAGTACTAAACCCCGTTGAGCAGTCCATGGAAAATGTACCCGCTTGGAATTCTATTCGGTCTTGGTTTCGACACATCCTCGGAAGTTGCCCTCCTTGGTATCTCCTCTATCGAGGCTGTGAAAGGTACGAGCATTTGGCTGATTTTGATATTCCCGGCTCTTTTTACTGGTGCGTTCCTTTTTCCTTTTTTTGTGGGAACTGAGCAAAGGTCTCCAACTCACAATAATCCATAGCGGGAATGTGTCTTCTTGACACCGCTGATGGCGCCCTCATGCTCGCCCTCTATATACAGCCAGCTCAAAATTATCTCGCACCGGAACGGAACAGTCCTTCATCTGTACACCCTATCGCTGGTGCAGGAGATGAAATCCAGACGTCCCAGAATCATCGAGACCCTGTTGCTTTCCTATACTACTCGATCATTCTAACAACCATGACTGTCATTGTCGCCATTGTAATTGGTGTGATTCAACTGCTGACCCTCGTGCTCAACGTTGCGGAGCCAACTGGTAAATTCTGGAATGGAGTGCAGGTGGCTGGAGAATATTATGATGTTATTGGCGGTGCGATCTGCGGATGTTTCCTCATTATAGGTGGGTTGAGCGTACTTGTATACAAGCCGTGGAGGAGATGGGTTTCCAAGACACATCAAATCGGCGTGGTTGTGGAGCGAGAGCGATACAGGGATTATGTCCCTGGAGTGGACGATCGCAACAATGAGGAAGCAGCAATGTCGAAAGTAGCAGTCAGCAAGGGGTAGGCAAAAGGATTACTTCCCAGGTTGGAATTAAGCCAGCCGATGAGGCGTGAGAGGAAGGTGTGAAACCAGGTGTAAACCGTGTAGCTGATGCCTCGAACCGTCATAGACTCTCCTGTGAATTTATTTCAGTTGGCTAGCCTTGTCTCGTTTAGACGAATTACCTTGGTAATACAAAAAAATAGTGAGGATACTGTAGCAAGGTGAGCTTGATTCACGATAATATCAAGCCTTGCAAGGTCTCTGCAGCCACTCGTAGGCCACCATGGTGAATAGGCATCCCGGTCAAAATTTTCAGACCCGAATGGATAGCCTAGGTTTAGGAAAGCCAGAGCTAGACTAGCACTGGGAGCGCGACTGAAGTACAAGGTGAAGCACACAGCCGTTTTTGGTACTTGGTATGTATCAGTGTTGCTCCCAATAGTCGGGTTTCTGATATAGATCCAGATTGTTCGGAATTGGTACGAGGCGGAACTATGAGGAAGTATCGTATGTGAACAGGTGATCGAGTATTCGCACTATATAGGAAACTTGACGGGGCTGGATGTTATGATCATTCGCTCAGGGAAGGAGTGGGTGGCAGAAGAACACTATACTAGCTACACACTGGTAGTCTCTTAAGGGATCTCTTTCAGTAGTAACAACCAACTGTATTAATCACTATCGCCTACTATTATCTGAAGGAATGGAGGCGATTCAGTGGTTTACGCTGAGCGCTCGCCAAGGCGCTAGGTGTGATCGGATTCCGAAACCCGGATATTTTTCTATCATCTTTGAAAGGTAGGATGTGATATCGAGATGCATAACGAATTTAATAAGGCGACTTATGTGTCAGGAGCAATATAACACCCTATGTAACAGCTGGCGCTGCAACTACATAACACTTGTGGCACTGATTTGTTAGATATGGTACTGGTCTAAACCGCATCAGACAGTAGTGTATCTCCGGTCATACGCTAATCCCTTCGTGGTCTGTATGGAGATAATGTTTGCTTGAATTTTGATGATCATGTCGAACAACTTGACGTGGGCTGTCGCACGCGGATGCCCTGAAATGATATGGAAATTTAAAAATAGTCGTGAGATATGAATGTGGAAGTGCAGTAGAAGAGGTTGTACTGGAAAGTTTGAGGAGTCATTTTGTGATTGGCTGCCAAATGCAGGATATGTATCCGAGAAGTTTATTTCTATAGCATGTGGTGACGTCCAGTGCCCAGCGGGGTACGATGTTCACCATCGTGAAGGGAAAGCAAAGAAAGTCAGTTTGATTTTATTCACATTGGGCAACTCGGACTTCACATATGCCTCGTGATGAAGCTTATCACAGAGGGTAAAGTATGAAGGGTCTCAGCTTTTCTTCGCAGCTTCTAAGATTCCTAATCACACATGAAGTTCTATTTGTGTTGCGTGATTAGCGATATCCTTTTCTTAGGGCCATCTGCGAACTCCGGGATGGCCAGCTGCCAGGCGCGGCTTCCTCCGCGCAGTCCTGCACAGGCTTGTCATCGATAATTTCTTGGCATTACAGTCAATGACTTCGATTATAGCAAAATCTAACTTAACTAGTATCTCTCCTCCACAATCCCACTGTAAATAAATATATGATGTACTAATAATAGATTAATTCTATTATGTTTTATTAAAACATATATAAATATTTAAAAATATCTAGAGGTCCTCCATTAGATTAGGCACGGACGAAGTGTCGATACTATCTTCTACGATAAAGATGATATTAGGCTGGCCGTTGGGAGGGATTCGGGATCCCGAGGGAGGTCTGGTCCCGTCCCATATTCCCATAAGGATCCTGGGGATGGTCCCGAATCCCGTCTCAAGAAAATGGGAAGGGATTCCCATCCCGTGCCAAGCAATATGGGAGGGAAATCCCATCCCTAAATTATAAACATACGAGGTTCCAGGTCGCGACCAGGTGGGTCGGACTTGGCGTCAGGTGCCTAGGCCTATTTGGGATGTCACGTGCAAGACAGGGAGGTCATGTTAAATGGGGCCTTAAATACACACATGTCACCTCTTTACAATGAAATTATCTTTTATCTCTTTTATTATCCTCAAAGGAAGCCTATCACTTCCTAACTAGTATTTAATTAGTTTCTAACTAGTTACAATGGCAGCCCCTAGTCCCCTTATTAACCAAGTCCAATTCTCCGAGCATGAATTTTCTGATAATGGAAGCGATTAAGAGATATTCTATATTAATAAGGTAGGTGATTTTATATTAGTTATAAACTAGTTACAGACTAGTTACTAACTAATCTTAGACTCCATACCCTATATTCCTGTTAAATGGGCTGAGGCCTCTACAAACAGAAATAATTGAAGTTTGTATGGCATTACCAGAGTATCCAGAGACTAGGGAAGCTGGATTTACGTATATCCTACCTGTTAATCCAATAAAACCCTTGAAAGATACTAAAATAATACATAAAGTAAGGAGCTACTCTATTACTAGTTATTAACTAGTCGCTAACTAGTTCCAGATCCAATATACGCGGAAGAAAAGGACTAAGAACCATGCAACATGTCTATATTTAGGTATGGATATTACACGCATGCGTTATAAATATTTAGGAATTAAAAGATGCTTAAGTTTTTATCCTAATCTAAAGGACCTATATTATACGAAGGTTACAGAGGAAGTATGGGATCGGATTAGGGAAATATAATATCTTATTAAGATGGCAGGAGATAATAACAAGAGGAGAAATGCCTTAGGGTAAGTTTTTACTAGTTATAGACTAGTTCCCTACTGGTTATTTACTAGTAACTAACAAATCTATTAGTATTTATATTGCAGAACATAGGCTTTTTAAAACAAAAAAAGCCTGTAGAGTACCACTACCTACATGCAAACCAGTTTTTCAATGGGCAACATACTTAGTAAGTTATATTATTTTCCTATTAGTAGCTGACTAGTTCTTGACTAGTTCTTAACTAGTATATATAGAATGTTGCAGGGATTCGCCATCTATTTATTTATTGTATTTATCGAAAGCCACTACAACTAAATATCCAACCCGAGCATTATCTCTCCTCTCTTAGCTTTTAGACTAATACTAATCTTTTACTACTTAAGCAATTTTTTAATTAATTAGTCCATCCAGATATTACATATTATAGAGCTATAGAGAGTGTAGTAAGTCGGAAAATATCTTGTAGTAAGTAAACTAATACTATACTAGTTTATAACTATTTACTAACTAGTTAGATACTTGTCAAACTGGAACTCTTGTACATAAAAAGTGTGATGTTGCATTTAATATTATTATTCTAGTTAATATTAAGAATTATTTATATATTTTATTTACTTTACATAGGATACATACACACCCTCCACCACCTCCTATAACAGCTCCTTTTATTATCCTGGAAAGAATAAAGCAGATACTTTATAATATAAGGGATCTGGATATGACTACTGGTATGTTACTAGTCCACTATTAATAGTATACTAGTTATTAACTAGCTAGGCTTTTTCCTCCGCAATCCACGACTCCTTGACTTCTGCAAGGAATTTAATAAGGATAGCCTATCAGGTATTCATACAAGCTTTGCTAATCAAGATCGTGTTTCTGCTATAATTCAAAAAGTAAAGATAAGCCTATTTCCTAAAGGCCAAGAGTTAAATGGTCTAAGGTTTGAATGTTTGAGACGGCAGAATTAAAGGTAAGTATACTAGTTCCTAACTAGTATATTACTACTTTGAAACTAGTCGCTAACTAGTATATTTTAGGCCTATGTCTAGTACACCTTTTAGGATAATAAGAATATACTTATTATTTGTGCCTACAAAGCACAATTAAAGTTATTCCAATCTCTGAAGTTATTTGAGGTGGATATGAATTTTAAGCGATTAAAGGGTCGTGATTTAAATAAAGTTATTTTTGCAGTATTTTTAAAAAAGTATAGAAAAGGTAAGTGAGTATTTACAATTGGCTACAGACTAGTTCCTAACCAGTTACTAACTAGTTATTACTCTTTGTCGAGTCTTCACCAATTGTCAAGATACTGAAGGGTATTATAACCTATTCTAAAAGGTTTTTAAGGTTATCGAGTAAAATATAAACCAGTCTGTTTGCTTTTATTATCTACATGGAACTGGATTTGAAAGTGTTATATTAGATATGGATAAGGCACAGATATTAGGTAAGATTAATAATACTAACTAGTTAATAACCAGTTACTAACCAGTATCCACATAGGTCTTGGCCAGTATCTAGCCAGTATTAACCCTTAACATTATAATAAAAGATGGCATATTCCATATATTATAATTGCCTGCCGTGTGCACTTCTTTCGAGGGATTAATAATATTCTTAGTAGGTATAAACTTTATACAAATAACTGGCAAACGATGGCTAGCTTGATTAACTGTTAAACCCGTGAGAGATATTATGATCTAATACAACTTCTCTAAGGTAAGTAGTTTAGTACTAGTATCTAACTAGCTATCTACTAGTTGCTAACTAGTATAAGGACATATAATCCAAATATCCAAAGTTGGCAGGCCATAAAGCAGATACATTAATTGCTGCAGGTTTAAATAAAAGCTGCTATAATGATCAAATTTTTTAAAATGCTAGAATCATACAAATCAGGCGAGCAATCTATAATAAGATATATATCTTTGGTGGTATTAAATTATCAATTTTAAAGGCTGCAGATCGGTATAGTACTAGTATCTAACTAGTTACTAAACAGTTCTACTAGTTATATCTAGTGGCCGGATGTGTGATATAAGAGATTTAGATAATATTTCAAGGCAGGATTTTGCTATTAAATAGCTATGTCTGATTCTGTTGCATCACGTATGCAAGAAATAGTTTAAGAAAGGTGGGTCTAAATAAAGACTAGACTACTGTTTGTAACTGGTTGCTAACTAGTCCTAGAACGCAAACGCCGGCGAAATACCTTAGGTTTAAATACACCAGATAATCAACCAAATACTTAGTCTTTAAGATATACTGTTGAATTAACTAAAGTCC